CATCCACTTTTTCTCTTTGGCATCTTACCTTTTTGAGCTTCTGCTTCCTTCCTTCTTATCCTTGCCTTAATGTCTTTCCTGATACTACTTTTCTGAACAAAAGATGTAAGAATTTGGAATCAACTTGATCTGACTCTTGTGGGCATGGTAATGTAGGCAAATTTCTTGATCTTTTTGAACCTTTGCTTAAAGATAATCATTTTGACATACCTCACAGTTGCTGGCAGGCTTAAATGGTAACACCTACAAATTGCTTAGCACAGTGCTTGGAACACTGTTTCATAAATTGTATTCCACTCCCCTTTCCCTACCTGTCTCAGGTTGATGATTACCTGGCCGACTTGTCTTCACAGGTGTGCTTTGTGCTCTTCCTGGCGAGTCTGTAATTGTTTCCATTATATAGCCTGTGTTTCAGTCAGATTAGATTGTTTGCTTTTTACATCACTATAGCTGCACCTTTATTAGCAATGTGTTAGTTTTCTATTTGTAAATCCTATTTAAAAAAAAATAGCTCAAATTCCACTTTCTGTGTTTTTCCATCTTGAAAAAAAGTTTGCCTCTTTTCTGAAGTAGAACTTTTTCTATCTTGTTATATTTATTTACCTAATGAGGTTCAAGGCCGTTAGCTCTGTGGGAGAAAAATGGGCAGTCTCTGTGTGATTAACTGTCTCTTAAAACCTTCTGGAGGGTCAGCTGTAGGTCGTTCTGACTCTGCAGTAAACAACAACAAACAAACAACTTGGCTTAAAGCCCTGAGAACAGGATCATGTGTTAACAATCTTTGTATCCTTTATGGAAGGCTGTATGAACTTAAGAGAGCTCTGATGCAGGACTTTTGCTGCTAACTCAAAACTATGACTTTTTGGTAGTTCAAATCCAACAGCATCTCTGAGGGAGAAAGATGGGAAATTTCCCCATGTGATTTACAGCTTTGGAAGCTCAATCCATGGTCAGCTATGAATGATTTCAACTCTGTGGCAGAAAGAGAGTGTAGGAGATAATGTGAACTAGATGTAATTGTTCCATTCTGTATTTTTCAGAGTGGGTGGATAAACCTATGCTTCTGAGTTGACAAATGTGATCTCTTAGGGGTAAGATTATCACAAGAATTAATTGAGATCTGTTTGGCTATAAAGTCCTAGTTTTCAAACGCTGTTATTTGAAGCACTGCATTATATTTGGAAGTGTCCTGGGCTTATTTACATCTCATCATAAATAAATGGAATAAATTATTTGATTTTAAAGACCATTTATATAAACCCATAGGAGGAGAGCAAGTGACAAGGCTGTGCTTCAGCTTTCTGCAATCTAGGGCTGCCTAATTGCACTATTTTTTTGTTTCTTTAAATTTGTGCTGTGTTTTGAGTGATAGTTTAGAGAGCAAATTGGCTTTCCGTTGTGCAGTTTTGTGGTACTGATTACAGTCGCCTCATTTTAACAGCTCTCATCCCACTTCCTCTCTGTGCTTTCTATTTATGTTTTCCCTTCTTTCCTATCTCTTCCTGCCTTCTGAGCTTTATTCCTGCATCAGTGATGTATGTTTGATCCCTCTAAGGCGTGTGTTTCTTTCTGGTATTGTTGACCACATTGTAGGCCTGTCTATGACTTGTATGATATTTTCATCCTGGGGGTGATTTCAATTCCAGGTTTTAATGATGTCTAAGGGCCATAGTCTGGGGATTTCACCAGTCTTATCGGAGTAGGAAATCCGATCTTTGATACTTTTATGATTTTGAATTTTGTTTCTGATCTTTTTATGCTGTCAAGGACCTTCTATTATTATCCTCTTCAGAGTAGTCGTCTGTGGCTATCTTGTTTGCAGGTTGTGGATACTAAAGTTCACCCTGTGGTCCTTTAGTCCTTTGAATTAATAGTCTTTGATTTTCTTTCTTCTTCTTTGCTTTGAATGGGGAGAGGACAATATAGTTAAACCTTGCATGGTTGTTAAAAGCTTTAAAACTCAAGTTAGGGATCACAAAAATAAGTTCTAGAACATTGTCTTTGTGTCCTTTGTTATACCTACTAATTGACCTTTATGACCCTTTCAGCTATGGTCCTAAGGTCCCAGGTTCTCAGAGTGTTTGATTTCCGCCCTCATAGTGTTTGGTTATGGCTGAGATGTTACCATATTTTTGACTTTTGTTTGCTCTAGGGGGCTCTAGTGCTCAAGTGGGTAAAGAGTTTCACTTGCTGACCCAAATGCATGAGGTTCAAATCTAACAACCCCTCTGGAGGAAAAAGATGGGTCATCTCCATGCAATTTACAGCCTCTGAAAACCTTCAGGAGGGTCAACTATTGGCTCCAACTCAATGGCAATAAATTGTGTTTGTATGTGCTTATAGCACATACAGATATATCTATATGTCTGTCTGTCTGTCTGTCTGTCTATCTATCTATCTATCTATCTATCTATCTATCTATCTATCTAACCAGACTTCTGACAAACCCATATGATTGTAAATGTAGTCTCATTCAACTACAAATTCTTGTTCATCTTACCTGTTGGCCTATGTATCCACTCATAGTCTGTTATTAGTGATAACGCAAGATTGTGCATGTAAGAATATTTACCTTTGTCATCTGTAATCCTTGTTCACATTTCCCATGCCTTTCTCTTCCTTAGTGATTTTGTTCTGGCCTACTCTTTTTAGTTTGTTGTCGTTTCCTCTGCTTCTTTTTCACTGTTGGTAACTATCCATGAATGTTTCTTTCTGTTTGTAAACCTTTCCTAACCCTTTTTTAATAGTGAGCTCATTCAGTAGTTACGATTGACCTATTTCACGCAAAATGATATCCTCCAGATTCATCCATGTTACGAGGTACTTTACAATCTTAATTTTCCTTTGATGTTGTATGTTGTTGTTGTTGTGTGCTGTCGAGTCGCTTGTGACTCATAGCGACCCTATGTACAACAGCCCTAAACTCTGCTCTGTCCTGTGCCAATGGCATTGTCCCTGACACTCCCATCCCGATTATCCCAGTCACTGAATCAATCCACCTCATAGAGGGCCTTCCGCTCCTGTACTGTCCCTCCACCCTTCCAAGCATGATATCCCTCTCCAAGGACCGGTCTCTCCTCACAAAAGGTCCAAAGTATGTTAGACAGAGCCTCAGAATCCTTGCCTCCAAGGAGCCACCCGGTTTAACCCTTTCCAGGA